TAAAAGTTTTTAGGCCGGGCGGTGGTGGCGGCGCACGCCTTTAATCCCAGCACTCGGGAGGCAGAGCCAGGCGGATCTCTGTGAGTTTGAGGCCAGCCTGGACTACAGAGTGAGTTCCAGGAAAGGCCCAAAGCTACACAGAGAAACCCTGTCGGGGGGTGGGGGGGGTTACATTTTTGTGTTTCTTTTTTTAACTTTTTTTTTTTTTTTTTTTAAATCAAATGCTGGTCTGGAGAGATGGCTGGGTGGTGAAGAGCACTGGCTGCTCTTCCAGAGGTCCCGAGTTCAATTCCCAGCACCCACGTGGCCACTCACAACTGTTTGTTCACAACTGTCTGTTCCAAGGGATCGGACACTCTCACACAGACACACATGCAGGCAAACACCAATGCTCATAATAAAAGCAAATCATTTAAAAAAGAAGGAAAGAAATATAGAAATCAAGTGCTTGCTTGCTTGTTTTGATATAAATCTCATGCTTGTTTTGCACTATGTAGAGCGAGCTCACCTGGAACCGGTGAATCTCCTGCCTCAGCTTCAAAAACACTAAGCCACCACTACTCTCAGCTTCCTCTTTCTTTCCTTTTCTTTCTTTCTTTCTTTCTTTCTTTCTTTCTTTCTTTCTTTCTTTCTTTCTTTTTTTTTTTTGTTTTTGAGACAGGGTTTCTTTACATAGTTTTGGTGCCTGTCCTGGAGCTCACTTGGTAGCCCAGGCTGGCCTCGAACTCACAGAGATCTGCCTGCCTCTGCCTCCTGAGTGCTGGGATTAAAGGCATGCTCCACCTCCACCCAGCTTCCTCTTTCTTTTAATTAAAATAATAATAATAATAGCCTGTTCTTTTCACTTTCTGCTTCTGCTGGTTTATTCTTATGCTCCTTTTCATTTACCCTTCATTTCTAAAATGATTTTCCCTTTTATTTCGTATTCTTTCCTGAGTTCCATTATCTCATTTTTCTGGTTTTTACTTACAATGTTCTTTTATGTCACCATGCCTTGGTGTCTTCTAGATCATTCTGATGTCGTCAGCTGTGGCTCGGGCATCTGTGGGGATGTCATTCTGCTCCTTGCCCAGCTGTTGACATGGTTAGCACGGAGTCTGACTTCGGGCTTTTCCCATCGCTTACTTGGATGTGAAATCCATTTCCTCCACTGTGAGAAGGCCCAGTTCAGACTTCCCCTTGTCGCTTTTGGTCCCTGAAGTGCTAACAACACAACGTGATGGCATGCATTCTTAACTTCCTGCTTTTGTCTCCCTCTCTGGTTTCATCTGGACCCTCTCTTCCCCAGATCTCTGTTGTCCACGTCTTTCTCGCGTTTCATTCGGCCATCTTGCTTCAGTGTCAGGCGCTGGACTTTGGGGAGCCCTGTGTGGACCAAGTTCACAGACTCTGACCTCTCTGGCTGACTCTGTACACCACTCGTCATCCACTATGGCAGCAGATAAAATCCTGTGGGTTTCAGCTGATACCTTCTGTTCCACACCCTGCTTACAGCTAGTGTCCCTGGGCAATTCTGAGATCTGTCACCTGCTGTCTTGTCTGGGGGATGCCTATGGCTTCCCTCAGCCTCACCCTGCTCACGGGTACAAAGACTAGATATGTCCCTGGTAGTTGCTCCCTGCAGCAGGCTTTCTTGAACAGCCAGCCACCAAATCAAGACACAAGACTTATTATTAGTTATGAATGCTCGGCCTTATTTTAAGTTTGTCCCACTGGCTCATTTAACTTAATTTAACCTGTTTCTCTCCATCTACATTTTTGCCTTGGGGCTTTTCACCTTTCTTTCATCCTGTGTGTTCCATTTTCCTGCTTCCTCCAGGTCTGCCTGGCTAGCTGGCCCCATGTTCTCCCTCTTTTCCTCTTCATTCTCTCTTGAGCTTAGATTCCTCCTCCTACTTATTCTCTCTGCCCGCCAGCCTCGCCTATCCCTCTACTGCCTAGCTCTTGGCTATTCAGCTTTTATTTGTTTATTTGTTTGTTTGTTTTACGAGACAGGGTTTCTCTGCCTGGAACTCGATCTGTAGACCAGGCCGGCCTTGAACTCACAGAGATCCGCCTGCCTCTGCCT